TATTAATCAGTTAATTCATTCAACTTTAGGATCATATCAGCTGAGGAGATCAAGCCAGATATTTCGATTGCATTGGACTTAAAAATACTGGATCTATACCTGGGATTACATTCAAGAGGGGTGTGTCAAGGAAAAAATATGCCACAGCATAGCAGGTTTCAGGTTTCTGACCAATCAGAGCAGAGTGACTCACACAGGTGACTCCCTGCATGTTTCTGCTGCTTTCCTACATAGACGGCTTCAGTCATGCAGCTCTAACATTTTTAAAGAGTTTAAATCATCAAGGAAAGTTAAGATCTGACAAATCAAGTCTTCTGATGTAAACGAAGGAAAACGAAGTATCCATAAAACTTCTTTTTTCTTTACTGAGGTATAATCTGCTCCTACCTGCTCATTCCAGTTTAGATGATCCCCACATGTTATCTGTTTACACCAAAGCTAGGGTTTAAATAAATACAGAACAGCTCAGTTTTTAAAAAGCAGAGGATTTTTAGAATGAATAAGAAGCTTCATAATGAATGTTGTAAACAAACAAACAAACAAACCTCCTGTCATTTTTTCACCCACTGACCAGTCCCAGTCGTACTGTTATGCCTGACTCATACGAAGCCTCTACTTGATGCATGATGGTGCTGAATGCAGAGTTGCAGAGACATTTTGACAGAAAATATTAAAAACCTGATAGAGTCCATGCAGAGTTTCTGTTTGATTATTTTGTTATCTTTCATAAAGTCAGTGTGTGTGATTCCTCAGTGAGCCACACTGAAATGAGCAGAGGAACAGTTGATGAGCAACCTGTGATAATTATCTAAACACTCCAGTTATTGGCATGCACAGGAAAAATAAGAAAAGATCTTTGAAAATGTTGATCTTACTGCAATGATAATTAATTAAATAAAATATGAGGAAAAATCTTTGTCTCATTTTTTCCCTCACATTTCGCAAATGACACAATGTATTTAAAAGAAGAAATGGAGAGTGGATACGAAATAAAGGAGAGAGAAAGAGAGAGACAAAAAAACCCATCAGAACAATCGAAATAATAAAGTATATACAAATATACCGACTTCAAAAATGTCCAAACAGACAAAATCATCAAAACTAAAACAGCATGACTCCTGCAAAACAATCTATAAATTTATCAACAAGGGAGAATAATTGATGACTGGAGAATAATAAATCCCATCAAAGATAAATTCACTTTTTCCAGTTCATCAAATAATGTTCCTGTAAGGCTCCTTGATACAACAGTGATGTCATGATGTCCATTCAGCACTGATTTTGATGACCGCAGATGATCATGCTATTATCTTTTAAAAATGTTATTATTGAAGATAAGTAAAGAAACCCTCATAGAGTACTAAAACAAAATAAAACCAAACGCTAGGGGGCAGTACAGCGACAAGGAATCAATAAATGATCAGGAAAATGCAGAAAACCATTAACTGAGAAAAATAGAGGCTGATGAACTGAGCTGACTTCCTGTCCTTTAAAACAGTTAAAGAGCAGTAGTACACTATGAGGTGATCTAGGAAATAAGGAAATGAGATATTTCTCCCTCTCCACTTGCAGCAATGGATTACATAAATTACATAAATAAGGGTCTAGTTTATTTGTACAAAAAATAAAAAAAATTATACATCTGGGCTGTAGTTATTCTGTGTAGCCTATTTCATGTATTTAATCTAGGGCTGAAACAATTAATCAGATTAATCATGATTGATTAATGAAATAACCGTCAACAGTTTTAGTAATCAAGTAACCGTTAACTGAATTATAGAGACTCTAAAATGTGCCTCTTAGCTCACAGTGCAAACCGATTAGAGCAGTAGTTAAGTTAAAATTTTAAACAAATATAAACATTTTGCTTTTAAGTAAAAAAAAAAAATGTTTTTAATATATCAATATGCTCTAGTTTGATTTCGTAAAAAATCTTCTTTAAGGAACCTTTTGTTATCTGATTATTAATCGATTAATCTAAAAACTAATTGACAGATGAATCGATTTGCAAAATGAGTGTAGTTGCAGCCCTGATTTTATGGTAACAAAAGAATTACTTATATACATCTATAATACATCTAAAGTGGAGATAACAGCCAGCCAGACAAACATGTTAATCAGGCTAACTATACTAGACTGCATGCAGCATCATTGTGAGCTCAAACACAGTTTAAAGAATCCAAATACTCATAATTAAACCCTGAAGGTTGGGACACTTCTCTCTCTACCTGTGCTGCAACATCACCACTCATTGTTTTCCTTAAATTCAGCTTTATAAAATACAAATTGATATTTATATAAATGAAAAACTGCTCCTTAATTTGTAATTAAAATCATTTAGACATAATCTGAAGCACAGAAAGGCCAGCTACATCACCTTCAAGCTGCCCTGCATCATTATTACTGGATATCTGTGCTTCCTATAATCATATAATGTTACCATTAAATAAGTGTGTTTTTACTATTGAAGGATTAAATGTAACACAACCTTTTTATATCATCCTATGTTACATTCTGTCTGACTGTTAAAATAGCTCCTTATGTCCTTGGATTGAAACAAGGCCAAAGCTATTGACAGAAAACAGAAATCAGCAATGCATCATAGAACCATCACCATTGAGGAAGGAACATTTTTATTTTCTCACACCTGGAAAGACTTCGTTCTGCAACAAGCCGCCAGCAGAGGGCGCTGTTGGCCTGTTAATATATCTGACAGGCTAAAAAGGATCAATGAGCAGCAGCTGATCCTCTGGTGGAGAGAAGTTTCAGCAGAAACATGTCAGGTAGGTCATTAAAACAAACATTATGACGGATCTGATTATAGAAGAGAACAACCAGAAAAACATCAAAGAGACTTTAAAGGTAGATAAAACAGCTTGGTTAGATTTTAGAGAAGAAAAACTTTACATCCCCAGGGCTTTGAAAAAGTATTCATTAAAGACAATGAACAATTTTGACCTATAGGAACCAGCTTCAAGAACTATGAGTGGAAAATTAACTGAAACAATAGATGATGAACTAAAGGATGATCCATCCCTGCTGGGGTTTTCTTTCCCATTTATTGAGGATAAACTTCCTGATTATTCTTTAGCTCTGCTTTGGTTTCTGCTCTACTAATTTAACAACCCAATTAGTTTTAATTTTGTAAATATTAAAACCATATAAAGAATTTAGAGTCAGAAGAGGAACCTTCAGGAATCTGAAGAAACCTGAGATTATGAACCAATAGGAAGGAAAAACAGAAAAAAATAAAAGATTTAACAATAGGTTTTACATCCAGACTAAAAGAAAGGAGACAACTTCAATATGGAGACACAACTCTGAAACATTTTAATATTAACTTTATTTTAATAAATATTCTCCACTGTACACATTGTTTTTTCAAAATAAAAATAAACTTTTATGATATTTAATTACCATGAAAAAAGTTTCTCTGTAGTGGAATAAAGCAGCAAATCCATTTTCCAGAGCCTCTATCAGACCAAACTAAACCAGTGAGTCTGTCATGTCTCTGTTTAACAGGTCATCAGTCAGGTTCTGATCCTCTGCTCCATCATTTAAAGTTCTTCAAGTAGTAAAATAAGTTCAACTCTGTTTATATGTCAGACAGTTTGGTTCTCATGGTCTCTAAAAACATCACAGTCACCTGACTTTAAATCTATGTTGCAATCACTGCAGATTTTGTAACAGAAATACATTTTTAAAAAAATCGATGAAAAAGCTTCAGTTCAACCAGGACATTTGATCATTTGTTGATCTGAAGGTTTGGAGGATTCCTGCAGAGTCTGACAGCAAACATGGAGAACCTTTGTTCTTTCTACCTTTACCTGATAATGCATCTTTATTAGTCCAGCTGCAGGGTCACCTGGTTCCACTGAAAGGCCTCTGACTGATCCTGAACACTGTGTCCATCTCCAGGATGCTGCAGCTTCTAAGCTGAATCTGAGTCTTTAACAATCTGCAGCAGAGAAGAATGAATGGAGCTCCCATTTAAATAAACACTGGTCTGCCCTTGAGCAAGGCAGCCAAAACTGCAAGACTGAGGATTCAGCCAAACTGTAAAACAAAAATTAAACAAGATTATTTAATTAATCATATTTATAAAAGAAAAGCTGACATATTTTAATTATTTCTGACCTACTTCTTGTTTGTCTTTCAATCTATGGCTGAGAAAACTTAGAGAAACAATGAAGAAACTCAAGGGGAAAAAGAGGAGGAGTCTGGACCGACCATCTGGGATAAAAGAAAAACATCAGAATAAACTAAATGTAATGTAAAATGTAGGTTGTTATCAGCTGCTTGGACCTGTGGACCCACCAGAACTGCTGGGTTCATCCTGTGGGGTCGGATTGATGAGGCTTCTGTGAGGAACCGACTCTGTTGAAGATAAAGATGAAATATTAAACATGAAACCTGGAAAAGCTTCATCAGAATCTACTGGGACCTGAACTCACCAGTCACTGTAACGTTGCAGTCTGCAGAACCTCTCCCATAGTCAGTCCTGATGTTACACACATAGAGTCCAGAGTCTTCAGTCCTCAGTCTGCACAGATGAAATCTGATCCTTCCTTCTCTGAGGACGTCTTTGTCCATCTGGACTCGTCCTTTAAAGTGTTCATCTGTAAACTCTGACTCTTTAATATCTTCATAGACTGAATAGAGGACTATTTCTCTGGGACGAGTCAACACGCTGCAGTAGATGATCCAGGTTCTGTTGGGTCTTGTGGTGAAGGTCCACTCCAGAGTGATGCTGTGGTTCTCCTCTGCCTGATAGGAGCTCTGTGTCACATTCACTACAAATGTTGCTGCTGAGGAGACAGAGAGGGAAAGAGAGGAGCAGTGAGACACACTGAGAACTGGAACATGGGAGTCTTTAAACTCCATCTCTAGAGGTTTCTGTCTCATGATGGTCTCTGTGCTGTCAGAGCTCTGCTTG